ATAGTGATATTCTTGAAAAAGTGTGGATAAAAACATGTTGGCCCTCCCACCAAACTCTTCATACATATTTTTTTTTAAAGCACTAACACTCAAATGGTCAATGTTCTCTCTATTGTCTTAAATAAATGTAATTGTAATATGATAGTTAATTTCCTGCAGTCGAACTCTTACGCAAGATGTGGTCTTTCAGGCTTGGTCCGATGTATACAAATTCCTATTTGGTCTTGGCTAATGCAACAAAATAACTTTTATACAGAGCTATTTTTTTTTTTTTTGTATCATGCCTTTATTCAAGAGATGATAAAAATATAACTCTTATCGGTAACTAGACATGATCATGAAGGAGATCTTTGGACCAGTTATACCGGGTCCCCAGTGGTTCCCAAACGAGCCAATAATATCATCAGTTCGCGTACTTTATTGCTAGCATTCGAGTCCCTTAGGGAGGGATTACTGAGCTCCTCGAGCGGAGCGGGCACTGATGCGCGTCGCCCAAGCTCCGGCGGGACGATAGAATGACGCTACGCTACACGATTTGATTTCTCCTGCAAAGAAAATGTGGGGTTACACGACTGTCGTGAAATAAGGATATGATGGTGAATCGGGTAGGATAAGGCCGAGGTAGATTTAGGCTTGGAAAGGTCCTATTTTCGAGAATGAAGGGGATGAAAATAATCGTTTCATACAAAAACTGTCTACATGCCTTGTGACTAAGGAACGATTATTTTCTTCCTAAATGAGGGATAATGCATAAGAATTTGTATTTATAATTGGCACATGCACGGTAGCACTGACTGTTAGAAACAGAGGTGTTTTCCTGACCCCAATTAATGCCAATGTGACTATTTTAGTTTACCGTTTTTTTCATTAATAAAATAATTCTGACCACTGATAGTGATACACTTTACACCAGACCAAGTCAAACGCTTCAATAACTAATATGGTATTTGAATCTTAACCAATCGAACTCCATAGACGGCCTTATAAACTTAAAGAAAATGCTCTGTCTTTATTAAGACCTGAGCAATTTATTAGCTGGCAACCCGAGGACGACCGAGGACAGACAGTAACTCCAGGCCGACCGTCACCCGATTGACGCTTCGTCATCCTCCGCTAGCTCGCTCATAACGTGCTAGACTCATCAGCGAGGCTGCGAAGCGTGGAAAGAAATTCGTTGCAGTGCGTCCCGAGACACCAATTTACCCAAATTCCCATTTTTAGCATACAGAGATTTTTCTCTTTCCCCAGAATTTCCCCCAAAGTTACAAAAATTGGAAATATGAATGCGATTCCATTTTTTATTTTCGTGAGGCATTTCTCATTTTCTTAAAATGGAGATCATTATGTTCAGGGTCGAGGAATGAGTTTACAAAATTGAGATATTAGAGGGGATTGGTGAAAAATTTAAACATAGAGACATGTTAAGAAAATATAGTTGAGCATTATCATAAAGATTGCAAGATAGGTAGAGAGCGATACCTATAAAGAGACGAGACTGATTGAGGTATAAAGGGAGAGAAGAAAAGATAGTGAGGGAGGAAATAAGTTTTGCATGATTTTCTAATACATAGATAGGAATTGAGCAATTGTCGATTATTGTAGTAAACCAAAATAATACGGTTCGCAAGGTTATATCACAGATCAATTCTCAAAGCTAAGAAATGGATCCCACAACCCCCCCCCCCCCCCCCCAAAAAAAAAAAACATCCCCCCCCCCCCCTATCCCTCTCCTACTCCCTCTCCCTCTCTCTCTCCCTCTCTCTCTCTCTCTCTATCCATCTATCTATCTATCTCTTCATTCAAGAATAGTTATGCTAATTATATCCTTCCTTATCTGTAAGAGAGCCGAAAACCCGCCCGCCAGGCCGTGATAATGCCCCCGGTTCTGATATAATATTCTTGTCTGATTTAAATTGGAAATATGATTTTCGCGTCGTCGATGATTAAGTGCGCATCGTACGTGACTCACTGTTCGCTTGTATCCAATACATGTGTTCGAATTACAACACGCTGTCGACGATCGCGTGGGACGCATTCGAAATGTCGCAATTACGCTAGCGAAGTCCTCCTCGTGGTTGTTAAGATGCTGTTGATGATGAGTGTCCCTTCGTTTTTTCAGAGGATGACAATGGTTGGTTGATAAATTAGGTCAAATGAGTTCTACGTTGATCGTGCTAAGTAACGAAATTTTTCTTTTACCACCTAACATTAGCATTTCTCACAATGTTTCTCCTTGATAATTTTTAGTAATTACGATTTTAATAGAATATTTTTTATAACTATTTTCAAATTACATCAACGAAGTAGAGGGGAAGGGAAAAAGAGGAGGATACTAAAAAAAATGAAAGGATTAATAGAATAAGGATAAAAATGAGGGGGAAATAAAAGAATGAAAGAAAAATGAATGAGGAGAAAGAGGAAAGAGAGAGACAGAGAGGGGCAAGAAAGTTAAAATATATGCTTGCTAGATTTTTTTTTTTTTTGATTTTTTATATCGCCGGTGTGTTTGATTTTTGTTCCCTTATGTTTGACTCTTCTGAAGACCTTGCTTCTCTATAAACATCCAAGATTCGTCTTACTCGACTTTCTTGAGTTAATAAACCGAAAGAGACTTAATTAAATCAATCCTCATGAGAAAGAGGGGTTGCGGGGGAAATGGCAAGTCATGTAGACTTTAATACCCTTGACGTTAAAACCCAAACGCCAATAGTACCCTCGATAATGTTTCTCAGCCTTGCATAGAGGAATGTAGTGGCAGATGTTAGAGTAAGGAGTAAGCGCGTGTGGGAGACGCTCAAATGAACACGTCTTGGGGTAAGAGAGCGATGGCGGGTCCCTTTTCCTACCCATTATACCGTTCATATAAGCCCCTCCTGGTATCCGAGAGGCGCCACGCGTTGCCCCTGACGTAAACTTACCCCCATCCGTCTATGCGACGCACCCATTTCGGGCAAGGGGAAGAGAACATGCCGCAAAGGTGCGGCCTCTTGTACGTCGAAAACCCTGGAGGTTTTGACTTTTAATAACATACTTTATCTCGCTTAAATGACAAAATTATAGCTTCGCGCTACTTCCAGAGGCTGATGAAGTGTAAATTACTGCCCAGGGCGACATTATTAGCTCCATCTATTGAGAGAGATGCGGGGAGAGAGAGGGAGATGGATGGAAAGGAGACAGCGAGGGGACAAAACGGAAGGGTTTGCGAGATAAGAATGAGTCTTTAAATACTTTTAAATCAAGCGTGGATAAGGCCCTTTGGTGAGGAATGGGAGTTGTAAAGTGTCAAGTCCGAATGAAATGGATGTAGATAGAGCGTAATAACAACACGGGTTCTGTTGACTTATGGTCTATGATTATGACACGCCATAATGCTTCTCTTATGGAGCCCTCCGCGCGTCTGGCCTATCCATACACCAAGCAATGAACCCTCTCCAACTCAAGTCAAGTGTTTAAATATAATCTATACTACACATCTCAAGATCACCCTCTCTCCTCCCCCCCCCCCCCCCCCCCCACCCTCCTCTCAGGATCTTAAGTGGTAGCGCGCCGCGAGTCAAGAGAATTGTTTGCACTGCTATTGTTCTCCCCCACTTCACTCCCATTAAGATCCAACTTGAATCTCGATCACTTCCAGCCATCAATTAAATACGATTTGTTAAGAGAAAACACGTTTATCATTGGTGTTTTTAAAAAGTACCCCCCAAATTCTGCTTGTTTGAAATGTGCCCAGCGGGTTTTTGTTATAATCCTTTCTGTTTCAAAACCACATTATCGACCAATATCTTTTTTGTTAATATATTTTGTTGTATTCCTATACCTTCTGCTCCTATATTTTGTCCCATTCTTTTTATTGTTAATTACATCCGAATTACTACCATCCACACGAGGACTAAAGGTATACATACATCATATATTTCAGAGCTTTTCCTTTCAGGATACTAATTAAACCTTTGTTAAGATTTCGTTTTTTTTTTTACCAAATCTTGTACATCCCCAAAGACAAATTTGTTATGATTGAAGTCCCGTTATTGATTAAGCAATCGAGCGGCCTATCTCCCGAAGACCGAGAAGCCAAACAAAATAACTATCAGATGTCAGAGAGTATAATATAGGGCCAATCTGCCCCTTTCATAATAAAAAAAGGGATATAAATAAAAGGAAACAAAATTATCATGAAAAATTGGATCTCGCATAGGCTCTGCAAAATTGATGTCATTAAAGCACCGGCATTTTTATGGCCAACGCCGCCGAATGGAACTGGAAAGGGCCATTAGTGAGTCACGCTAATGAGGAATGGGGGCCAGAGACGGGTCAACGGGCATCTATGCAAATGAGCTCGAGATATGCAAATTAATAATGCATGGGATATGAAGGTGAAGCGTTATCATGGTTATTGCGTGTATTTTGTTACCCAAAAAAGAGGAACTTGCATCGTGGGGAAGATGACATTAAGGAAAAAAGTTATTCATCGTCCCGTTCTTAGAATATCATAACTAGCCTATACCTATGGTTCGTGAATCACTCATAAAACATCGAATATAATGAAATTGAGCCCTATTCACAACCTCATCAGTACAATCATTATCACCAACATTACATTTTATTTTTCAGAAGTATCATGAAATACATCAGTACCACCACAATGACCAGCATCGATAATCCTTGGCAACACAATAAGCATCATCATCATTAGCATCATCATTATCATCATCATCGTCATCGTCATCGTCATCGTCATCGTCATGGTCACCACTAATCCTTAGTAATTTCATCATCACCTAGGCACCATCATAACGACCGGAATATTCTGATTATTCTCATCATTAACACAATATTTTCAACAACACAAATCACGAAATTAGTTATCTAAAGTCTTCATCATCACAAAGCATCATCATCACCATCGCCACCACCACCACCACCACCACCACCATCATCATCATCATCATCACCACCATTCCCATCATCGTCATCACCATGGCAATCCAAATCCAAATTACCTGGATAGAGTTCTCCCTTGATCCTCTTCTCCTGCTTGGGGATGCCCAGGATCCCGTTGATAGAGTAGGAGGAGCCGGTCCTTTCGGGGTCCCCTGGGTGGATGAGGGAGGATGGAGGGGAACCAGAGGTCGGAAGACAACCCGTTTGATGCTCATCGAGCTTCTTGTCTCCTAGCTTGTTCCTTACAATCCTGTCAATCCAAAAGACATGAAGCAAAAAAGAAAATCCAGTATATTATTTTTAATAATCACTCTCCGATTGATAATTTTTGAGCCACTGTGTGCTGAGCTTGTCTTGTTTGTATAGAAAATTTATATATATATTAATTTAGTATATCGCAAAAGTTCCATGGTCTGTCGCATAATCCTGATATAGTTTCGACAGGCATTGCAATCATGAAGATACGGCTACAAATGTATAATCATCAAGTTGCTTATTTGAGGACCACTCTTTACTAAGAAAACGTTACATGAGGATCAATTAACGTATTCTGTAAAACCAAGAATGTTTTCAACATAATCGAAGGCTTCCAATTGATATCCATTCGTTGTAAATTTACACACAATAACAACAGCCTTCAATTCTTACCTATGAAGTAAACAGATTTAGCATGACAATCATTTATGAACTTTGACCTCACCTGTTAATCGAGCTGACACTGGGAACGTTGTCTTTCTCGCACACGCCCTCGGCCAGCAGCCGATCCCGAATCTCCCAGGCGAACATGGTCGGATTTTGTCGTTTATAATCGGCAATCTTCGACACCACCTTTGGCGTCGCAACCTTGGGTTTGCTTCCTCCGATAACACCGGGTCGTATTGAACCGGTTTCATAATATCTGACAACAAAAATATGTCACGAAAATGTTTTTAATCATTGCCGTGACATGCATATGTGTTTAAATTACGGAATAGTTATGTTTGTAAACGATTTAATCGCCGTGGAGTTGAGATTATGTATCTGGTTCATTTTATTTAGGTTTTAACACCTTTTCTGAGAGGTCAATCGGGTTTCACAAATCGGCATTCGGGTTTAAAATAAGATCACTTTTCTTGAATCGTTTTTATTTTAATCGCGCGATTGTCCCTTTTTCTGTGTGTTTTAGTGTGGTATCATCACTTTAGAAATTGTCACGCAGACGAAATTATGCCCCTTTCAGAAACCCATCAACCCACCATCTATTTTTCATTAAGATCTCAAGGTTGGCAAAACGGCAACAGTACAGACTTCATCGAAGCTTCATGACAGTTCATGAATTATTATTGCGCGTGAATCACGGTTGAAGCTAGTCGCCGAACTCGAGCGCGCATGGGAGCGATCACAGCCAATACAACCGTCGGCCTCCTCTCAAGCGGGATTCCATGTATACAGATAGTCGACGGGTGATGGGCGGGACAATTTATGAATGTTATTATTTCATAAACATGGACCGCTCGACGAAGCAGGAAAATTATGTGATTATTGCTTACCTACCAGAAAATGAAATACGATATGGCTTATGCAGGTGCAATTAAACTGATATTAAATCATAGTTGCAGGCTGAAGGGAATGGGGATATTGGGTTCTGCCAATAAAGGAGACGGCATGCTTGCTGTAATCAAAATGACAAATCTTCTTTCTTGCTCAAGTCGTCTTCAGGTCTTTCGTGTTCATAACGTATACACATTTTTCAAGTGACTGGGTATTTTAAGATTTGTTGATAAACTATGTACGAGAGACTGAGCAAATCAAACGTGATGAATAATGGTCAATTATTGAGATGTGATGAGATTGGAATTGTCTAAATTATGCTGAGAAATCAGATTATTTGGAACAATCATAGTATAATAGCTAACATTTTCAAAATATTGAATTTGGTTAGGTTAGCATAATGACTGTAACCAATAAATTCCAAGTCACAACCGCCATATTCAAATAATTTAGCAAATAATGTTTCCTCATTGTTTCGCAAATAACATTTCTCAGAAAAGAATTGTTGTTTGAAACTGTTTATTCAAATTGATTATTCAAATTAAAAGTGGTTTGTTTCCTCATTGTTCCGCAAATAACATGTGTCAGAAAATAATTAGTGTTAAAATTGTTTATTTAAACTGTTTATTCAAATTAATAGTGGTTTTGACAGCTATTACATGGAAATTTAGTTTTCATTATATCAGTGACCAAAAAGACTTCAATGAAAAACAACAGTCTGATGAGAGACAAAAACAAAAGAACAGAAATGTTGTTATTTTGTTTAGGTAATCATCAGCTAAACAAACATCATGTTTCAACTTAATAAAAAGGAGAATCTAAACTCTTAATGTAAAAAGTGTCCTTTGTAATATATTCAAGCTGTCCTTTAATTTAGAACACAAAACACACTACCATACAACCCTCCTTTGTTCATCCTTACTTTCCCTCACTTTCAATAATATTGTTGACGATATGACAGTTCGCGAACCGGACGAAAAAAAAATATTGATGACACCCTAAAATTGAGCGAGATGGTATAAAAGGTGTACAGATGGTCGCCATGCCAAATTTAGAATGGGCGAATTAAATCGAGATGCGCCAGGGTCTATTATGATGTGATGCCGCGATCATACAGCCAATAGATTAACCCGAAATCCCGGCCACTGAGCTCAGAATAGTAACAACGCAGCTGGGTGGATAACATAATGACTCCATAGTTATTAAATCTTCATCCTTTTTCTTTCTTTTTTTCAACGAAGAATGAACGTTCGTGAAATGAATATTGGCGGATGTTGATGTTTTTCCTTTTTGTTTTCTTCTTTGGGTTTTTTTTTAATTTAAAAAGATATTACATGTTCAGATGCAATATGTGTTTATCAATCGTTTTTAATCTACGTTAATGGGTAAGAATTTGAAGTCGTGATCTCATTACATTGACTCTTCTCCATTTGTATTAATGACTTAATTGATTGGCTTTTCTGTTTGTATGATATAAGCTCAATCACTGTTCCATTTAAGAGTAGCTATACAGGTTTCACATGGATATGTCTCAAAAGTTCTTGACAAGTGAGTTGATGTCTGATATAACACACATAGGCTATGATTATTATTAATATTATTAGTATATTATTATTTGCAAATCGTGTTGAAATCCCTTGAAATCATTATACAAAAGGTGGAGATATCTATCGTGTAAAATAACATGTTTCCGGTTCACTAGTGAAATCATGTTTAATTCTGAATTATTGTATAAATGAACTATAGTTTATTCTAAATAATTTTGGAAAGTATTAGTACCTAGTCCTATTCATTTTCTTAATTCTGACAATTTATAAGAACTATCTCAAGATGGTACAAACTTGTCAACGTTTAAAAATCCCACATTGCCCCATAACGAGGCATCTTGTTTACTATTGGCGCTCCCTACCCAGGTCTATATATCAGACATCAACTCACCGGCCGAGAATTTTGGAAACACATCCATGTGAAACCCGTAGTTGTCTTGAGATATCGCACGGCCTGACGCCGCTGTGTGCGAGATCGACGATGCGTTGGCGAACGACATCAGGTAGCGGCCTTCCGTTGACGAACACACCTCCTAGTTGGTTCACGCCACCGTGACCTGAGCAAAGATGGAGGAAAACCGATGAAAATCGTTAAAATCAGGTAAAAACATGAAAAAGGGCGATTTCATAGATACTACACGTGATTCAATGATGGTAAACATACAAACTACACCGCGATTAAAATAAGAAATAAAGATAGGAATATAGTACTTAAGGTATTCTTTCAATCAATCAAAAGATAAAGTAGGGAAAATTATAAAATTAGGCAAAATTGTATCATAGTTAAATATCTATAAGTTAATGTCAGTATATAAATAACAACAACAAAAGTATGTTCAAGTAAAATTAAAATACATGCTATCAATCAATCACCCGAGTCACTATACAAAAAGCATTATGTATACACTGGGAGGGATAGCTAAACCACAGAAATATTTGTGTGGGTTTTTGTGTTTACTTGAGTCAATAAATTAATTTCCCCGGGGGCGATGTTAATTGCTTGATTTTTAATTGAGGATGTATGGGTATAGTGTGCGTGTACGTGTGTATATTTCATTCCATATACATTCTGCTCAATGTTAACCACTTTTGATCTACTATATTGATTTTAACCCTCTCTATGCACCTAATGCACAAAACGGTGATGAATAAAGGCGGAAATAGCAAATATGCAAATATTACTCTTCTTATATCACACTATTCGATTAATTCTAGAGGTATTCAGAAGAGTGTTTGAATAACTCTCAAGATTCAACTTTCTGGATACAAAATTAAAAGTAACCTTAACAGTCAATGGTAAATAATACTCTGAAGTACATACTAATAGGAGTGACAGGAAACATAGAAATGAAGACGAAAAGACAGTACTTCAACGTGCGATTTCAAATGTTCCTCGAAACCAGTTGCAGCCTTGTGGCATTATTGTGAAGCTTTCCTCTTAATCATAATCGTGTTTTGTCCATAAATTGCCTGATATTGACTGTATGATTTTGACTTCATGTTTGGAGTTACTTTGTCTCGGCAACCCCCAATGTATTCCGTCTACAGTCGCAGGAGCAATACCACAAGAACGGAAACAACGTCCCCTATCACTCACTCGGACTACGCTCGCCATGTTTGCTTAGGAATCCGATTACACGTTAGATGCCTAAATCCTCATTTTGGCGACATTTCATCCACATTTTGCCTTTTTCCCTCCTCCATACAATGCGAGAACGTGTCTGTCAATGCAAATCGGTGGCAACTTCACCCACAACGGTGCGTGTTGCGACACATGAAACCCATAAGCAGAAGGTTGAATATAGTAACCTTTTTTTTTTTGCCTTTCTCTCTCTCTTTCGAGGTACGGCACCGGACAAATCCGGCGAGTAAACAAGGCTCAGCCGAATAATTGTTTTTGTTTGCCGATAAATGTCTCAGCAGGAAGTTGTTTTGATACGGCAAAATTATATTGTGACTCTAGGAGCAAAATGTCATTACAAGAGCAACAATGTGTGCTAGAAAAGGGGTGAATTGTGCACTCCTGAACTAGGTTTTTCTCCGTAAGGTCGTCACGATTTAACACAGATCGTTCTTGGGTCAGTTAGAATATGGAGTGAAAATCAGGTAGTTGCCTATATTAGTTAAATATCCAAAGTGTAATAATAACTTGACAGAAAATCAATAAGAAAAACCAAACATTACCAATGTTGTTCACAAAAAAATTGAATTCATAATTATGATAATAATGTGAGGGTCGACAAATTGGAATTAATACTGCTATTTCCGCGGGCCCTGCAATAACTATTATTACCCAGCCATTGCCAGGTATACCCATTTACACCTGGATAGATATAGTACAGTTGGACAAATGGGGACAAAACACCTTGTCGAAGGGTATAAGCACCGAGAAGGCCTCGAACCCGGGACCTATCGGAGAGCCGAGAGCCTTCAACATTATACCACAGAGCTCCCATTGCATTATCACTCATATACGATGACAGAAGACACATCAAGCTCTTCATTGATGCAAACCAAGGTAATTATATGCACACACACATAGAAAGGTGTCAACGTTAATTGGTTTAATATAGTCTATCCTCTTTGGTAACGCCTTCTCAAGACATCGACGGGGCTTATGAGGATACAACGTTGCGTTGTGAATCGTTTCTTATGAAGTAGATTACGCTTTGGTTAAGGACCTCTAAAGTTATGCTTTCTAAAAATTAATGTTGGGCTTTAGAGCCTTAAATACTGAGAAACTGAAAGTATATTGAATGAATGAGGTATGTGTGCAAATACTGTCATTGCGCCAATTATGAACTGTTCTGTGTCGTCTATCCAGCCATATAATAAGCCCCTCAATACATGTAAGTAACTTTAGCAAAGCCAACCATGGAGACAAAAATCAATCTACATTTCTCTGTCACTGCCCATGCATATAGTATGGGGATTGTCGCTGCGTGTCCTTCTCACGAATAAAACAGGGGTGCCCCCCCCCCTCTTCTCAGGGTAAAGCATGCCCAAAGCATCAACCGTGAAAACTTTTGACAGCAAAGTTGGCTGCGTTGGCCACCGGTCCGTGCCGATGGTTTCGGCGCGAAAAACTCGTCACCCAAGACGATCACCGGGAATTCATGATAACGAGAGTTGTCTGAGACGCAGAGAGATATGGAGAAAAGGGGGGAGATGACAAAAGAGAGGAAAAGGACATTGACAGGCGAACTTTGATTTCTATGAATGAGGTTTGATGTCCAAGCCACCGTACATAAACATACAAAGCAACAACGTACATGTTGCAAAAAATAGAAAACAAAACTGGAACCACTGACACGATTGACGAGGCGTGGCTTTGATAAGAGGCATCTACTTTACATTTCCAAAAGTAGGAATTGAGACCCAAACGGGCTATGGTAGAACACATGAAATTTAAAAATACATCAAAAATAATAAAACATACCGTTTATGATATACATTGTTTGATGCTCTTTTTTAAAAACCGGTTCATGGAACTATAACACAAATAACTATATAACACAACGATAACACAAGGCCTTTTTTAACACGCACATGCAGTTTTATATTTTGACAACTGTCAGGACTGTGAGATATTTTAATCGATTTGTTGATATTCCCCTTCCAGTTTTGTTTCTGTGATTGTTATTGAAGAAAAGGATTAGTGCTTCTATTATGTATCGGTATTGGTATTTTGTTGATTTTCTAAGTTTCGGTACCCATTAATTGATACCAACTCAACCTTTAAAATATCCTAATTAAAAAGGAACTTGAAGAGTAATTCCATGAAACATCCTCTGAATGAGAAATATCAACCACGAAGAAAGCATGGAGGCATACATATAGATTTATAGATAGATAGACAGATGTATGGATGGATTGATCGATAGATATAGATGGTATTAGAAAAGGGGAGATGTAATGGATGCGGAGAGTACTGAAGAGAAAGTGAGAAGAATGGAAGAAAGATTGACAGAATGTGGAAAGCTAAAACTCAATTAAGAAGAGGCAAAGAGTTGGTGTTTGGGAAAGCATACACTGCAATAATATCAAGTAGAAAATGAAGTAAAGTAAAGAGGGAGGACGGTGAGAAAGGAGAGAAAGGAGCGAGGTGGAGAGGGGGAGAGGGGGAGGAGAGACAATAGACATGGGAAAGAGAGGGAGAAGAGAAGAGAAGAGAAAGGGAGTGAAGAGTAGAGGAAAGGGGATAGGCAAGATAGGGAGGGAGGAGAGAGGGGAAGGGAAAAGGGAAAGAGCAAGGGAGAGGGAATGATCGACGGATCGTGATGGTGAGCGGGGTGTGGGCTATGGGACGAAGGGGGTAGGGGTGAACGAGCGATTTGGGAGTACCCGCTCCGACGCCTTCCCCGCACGCGACCCCAGCACAAGACAGGAACAAATCTGGATAATATTTTGTCTGCTTTATCACCGGTCCTCAACCGTGAACCTGTTCGCACCTATGGTGTCCCTAAACACACAAGACATCCACAAACACTAGTTTCCAAAACCAGTCGTCGATCTATTCTAAACTTTGTAAATCTTGTCTCGCAACTTCCCAAGTGCGATTGAAAAACTGCAAATTGTATGACTGCCTCGTTTGGACACTCGATAGCCCAAGAGATATGGACATGGCATTTAAAGCCAATTCGTTTTCTTTTTTAAAGAAGTAACGCGCATCTCATTTTCAACTAAGAGTCTGGCAATAGTTCAAGTAAGACTAAAATTGGCTTTTCAATCAACCAAATCCCCTGGTATTGAGACTATCACAGTGTGTTCCCACGTGATCTAGTCAAGTTGAGAGGTTACATCAGCATTTAACTCGCTTCGTCGCGTTTACTTCGACATCCACTCATCATCAGAAATAGGTATCTCCTTTTCTAACTTTGAAGACAATACCACGTTCAGAGCAAGGCCCTGCTTCATCAAACTTGAAATATTAATAATAAGAATATATAATCATAATATAATATATAATAATAAGATTATACTTAATTCAAAATTATGTATGAAAGAAAAATCGCATGTATACACAATGTACAAGTCTCTATCATTTTCATATTAGTCAGGATGGTCAAACTCGTATTCTCTCGAGCTATTAACACCAACAAGATGCTTAAACAACGCCACTTAATCACTAGAAAAGATCTCCCGCCCGTTTCCGTCACTTCTGCCTTCTTAAAACCTTTGCACAAACCGGATAAACACCTTTAATGCAGCAACGATCTTATCTAATTCAGGGACCAATTAGGGTTATAATACCGGGGCTTGATGCGGTTGGGGAGCGCGACAGGAAGAAACTACGAAGGGGAGGAGGATGGATGCAAAGGCGCCATTTTCTCCCCATCCGTCATCTTCCCCTGACGGTGAAGTGCGGGTAATAGGGGCTTGTCTAGGATTAGGAGGCCAATATGCTCAGCATAATTTGCGACATCCCAATAACATCAGAGTCTATTTACATTGGGGGTTTTGTTCAGTAGGTTGCTCTACATATTTAAGTATGTGGACTTCTTTCGATTGAGCTACATGGATAGTCAGGATATAAGGATAGAAAGTGGGAAAGCAT